TTCTCTCTCTCTCTCTTTTTCTCTCTCTCTCTCTCTTTCTCTCTCTCTCCCTCCCCTCCTTCCTCACCCTCACGGGGGGGGGGGGGCGCTCCATCCCCCCCTCTGCTCCCCAGGGAGGGTAAGGCCCTCCATGGGGGATCCCCAAAGTCTGTCATATCATCCTGGGCAGGGCCTAGGCCCTCCCCCATGTGTCCAGGCTGAGAGAGCATCCCTCGACTTGGAACAGGCTCCCAAAGTCCTTTCTTACTCCAGGGATAAATACTGATCTACCACCAGAGGCCCCATAGAGTGCCGAGGCCTCCACATTGACATACTTTTTAACCCTGTTTATTATACAAAACAAAGGTTCAAAATAACCATCTGAGAAAATTGTCTCCTAGTTCACAAGCTCTCAGGCACAGCACAACAATGCATTCTGTTGGAATGGAATGAGTATATTTGTAGGTACAAGTAGGAGTTTATGTCTTTGTGTGTGCAATTACATGAATGCATGTACATGCTGGATGGGACCAGGGAAGGGTGTTTGAGATTGAAACCACAACAGGGTGTCAAGTCATTCTGGTTGCCTGAGACTAGGAGTTTGCTGGAACGAGGGGTTTTCAGGGTTAAAATGAGGGAAGTCCCAGGAGAAGTGAAGCAGTGGTGTGCTCTCCTCCACTTGCATTGTTCCCTGAATTTTTGGCCCATCTGATTACTAAAGAGATTCCACACATTTAACTGCTCACTAGAGGCAAATGTAAATAACCCAGTGTGTCCCTGATTATCACGAGACTGTATAAAGTAAAGGTTGGTTTCTCAGGAGCATCCTTCAGTAAGTTTGGGCAAGCTGAGGCCATTCCTGAATTAAATAATGAGCTTAAGGATAATTCTACACATTGATACTGTGTGAGGGAGTTCTGATATTAGCTTTCAATTCTTCATACTGAGAAACCATGTATCCCTTGGCCAGAAGTAAGAAAGGCATGCCTCTGCTTGTATTCTCTTCTTTGGGTGTTGTTCTCTTCTTAGTAGTATTTTCCTTTCTCGTGGAATGTCAATCATTTAAGTCTGGGTTCTTCAAACTGATGTGGCACTTAAGATTAAGGTGAAAGGTTTTATAAACTGTACCCAAAGATTGTACCTCTCCTTTAATACATTCTACTAAATGTTTCCCATAGTGATATTTTACACCTCAAATGCTTTCTAGTCTCTCTAGCTCATCTATGTTTTTATTTTTGGTTTCTTTCACTCATGTACTCTGAGTCATTGTAGTATAGAACAGAAGAAAGGAGACTGTGTAGCTTTGGGAGATGTTACCAGCAAAAGTATGTTATGAAAATACATGAGAAAACCTTAGGGTGAGGGGAGAGAATTCTCTGCCAGAGAAATGAGAAGGGTTGGGTGAACAAGCCTCTAAGTCAGTGTGTCTCTTCCTGGACAGTCTTCTTCTATAAGAAATACATAAGAGGAACTGACTGATTAGCAATTCCTCATCACCTGTAGTACTTTGCTAGTGTTGCCATGGCAAACTACCACAAATTAAGTGGATTAAATAACAAAAAGTTTGTTTTCTATAATTTTATAGGCTAGAAATCTGAGACAAATGTCAGCAAGGTTGGTTTATGTTGATGATCAGTCTCCTTAGTTTATAGATGACTAGTTATCCCCTGTGATGATCACTCTCCTTGGTTTATAGATGAATAGTTGTCTCCTGTGATGATCAGTCTCCTTGGTTTACAGATGACTAATTTTCCCCCTGTGCATTCACATATCCGTCCAGCTGTGTGTGTCCAAATTTCTTCTTCATACAAGGAGTCCTACTAGATTAGGGCCTACATCTAAAAGCCCCGTTTTAATTTAATTACCTCTTCAAAACTCTATCTCCAAATACAGTCATATTCAGAGATACTAAAGATTAGGCCCACAACAGAAATTTGGGGGAAATACTGCCTAGTTCATGTCATTACGTCTTATATTTCACTAATAAGGGGAAAGGCCTTTGTTTATTTCACTTGCTAGATGAGTTTTGAAAAGCCAAGACTCCAGAGTAGTACTGCTTAGTGTAGAACTAGCTATAATTACCTTTTGTATGGTGTTTGGGATCAAGCCCATGTCTTTGTGGATGTTGAATGAATGTTCTACCACTGAGCTGTATCCCCAACCCTCAATAATTGTTCTTGTTTAAACGCTCCCTCTGAAACTGGAAAGCTAGTTTTCTACTCAAAGTCTGTACAAACAAACCATTTCCTCATTGCTTGATCACAAACACAATCTGTACTTGTATATTCTATGCCTTGTTTGCAGACTCCTGGTAAACTACCAAGGCTTACAGATACAATTTGTAAGTTACTACCTCAGCTAGATAGTTTCCAAACATGGTTCTCTTCCCATTGCTCTTGCATTGGCTACTCTGAACTCTCCATTATTTCTGCAATTAAATAAGCATGATTCTTGATGGCCCAACACAGTAGACTCTTGACAGCAGCTACAAATCTATTAAATGTGACATTTGCCATCTTCTCAACATCAAATCAGAATAGAAAAACCTAGAGAGAGTTCATTTTTTTTGAGACCTGGCTCAGAGAGGTGGCCTGACAAAAGGCAGTTCAAATGTTAAGCAGCCCACAGAGCTTTTAAAGTGATGGTCTTTAAGTTTTGATTCACCCTTTGCAAGGTTATAAAAACACAAAGGCTCCCGTGTATTTTCACTTTTCTTCTGTTCTGATAAGACATTTAACTTTCTGTAATTGTTCTATATAGAATTGAATTTGTGGTTAGGTGGCTGACTGGTAATCTTTATGTTACATAACAGACACATTTCACAATTGGAATATGCTCACTCAGAAAACCCGTAGGTTATAAATCCTGGGTGTTGAACTGTCTTGCAGTCAGGGTTGTTTTTTTTTTTTTTTTTTTTAGCTAATTCTTGATTCAATAGAATCCCCACACTCCAAAAATTCACATAGCTTTAGCATTAATTCCCAAAAGCTAAACAGAATATAGAGCAATATTTTATTATCATGAACCAATATTTCTTTCAATATTAGAGGATTTATCTACAATGTAAAAATGTCAATTATGCAATAATTCTACAATATGAGTAAATTTTTAAAAAGTCTACTAATCAAGCAAAGAATCATTAGTACTAAACAATAAGAGCTCAGAATACTGAACTAATTAGGACCAGTTACCTGGAATCATCCAGCTCAGTGATTCTCATACTTCAGTAAACCTATATCCCCCATAAGGCTTATTAAAATACAAATTGATCTCAACCCCAGGATTTCTGATGCAGTAACTCAGGGGCACAGCTCCAAACTGTATTCCCAGCACATTCTTATGCGATGCTGTCGGTGTATGGACCACACTGTAAAAATCACTGATCTCATTCAGCTCTCCTCCTCTAAGAATATAGTTTCTGACCTCTGGAAGGACTGTCTTATTCTATAAAGAAAATGATATTCACCAATTTCTTAAGTAGCTGTGTTGTAAACAAGAAAAATGGCTATAAAGTTATTACGAGGAATACCCAGATTCTGGGCATACTGTGCACACATTTCTGTGACCTCACCATGTCCGCTGAGATAGCTGCTACTGTGATAACCCATTTTGTAAGTGAAAGAGTGTAGAAACGAGGCTTTAAACCCAGACAGAATTTTAACCCCTTGTACTACTCTGCTTCTCCAGTTACTAGATAAGAACTTAACTGTGCTCATTGACCCATCAAGAATAATGACAGCTGCTGGTAGGGATATAGCTCGGTTGGTAGAATGGTTCTTACTACACCCCAGCACAGCAGAATCCAGGCATGGTAGGACATAACTGTAATCTCAGCAGTCAGGAAGTGGAGGTAAAAGTTTAGAAATTTAAGGCTAGTCTTGTCTACAGAGGAATCCGGGGCCAGGCTGAAGGTGAGACCCGGCCTCCAAACAAGCAACCAACCTTTTTTTGCAAGTCAAGTGATAATTTATAATTCGTTTACATGGCTACAAGTATAATAAACCTTTTAAAAAAAGGTATATGCATATATGTGTTTGTGTCTCCATCTGTGCAACTATATACACACGTGTGTGGAGATTCCTTCTGATGTCAGATTCCTTGGAGGTGGTTACAGGCATTTGTGAAGCACCTGATGTGGGTTCTGGGATTCAAACTCTGGTCCTCATGATTAAGCACCGAGTGCATTTAAATGCTGAGGCATCTCTCCACCTAAAATGTCTTTTACATTCTGCATTCTAAATGTGCCTAGGTACTATCAGTGAGAAGATGACCAATCAGCTTTAAACATGTGCTCATGTTGGGCTTGAGAGATGGCTCAGTGGTTAAGGCACTTGTTGCCCTTACAGAGGACCCAAGTTAGATCCCAAGTTTCTGCTTGGTGGCTCACAGTTTCAGGAGATCTGATGCCTTCTTCTGACCTCCAAGGCACCAGGCATCCATGTGGTACACATACACACATGCAGGAAAAAGTTCATAGACACAATATAAAATAAAAATAAATTAGAAAAATACTTTAAATGTGCTCATGAATGTATAAAACACGTCTATTTAAAACAAATGATTTGTTTTCTGTAGAAAATTACTAAAATGGAACTTTTTCACATGCATGTATTACCTATTAATTGCAAGAACTAGAAACCAACTTGGTAGGGCTGAAAGAGAAAGGCTCAGGATCCAAGGACTTTAGGAATAGACTAGAACAGGGACTTTGAGAATATCAAGACTGTTTCTCTCTGTTCTGTCTCTCTGTCTCTCTGTCTCTCTGTCTCTCTGTCTCTCTCTCTCTCTCTCTCTCTCTCTCTCTCTCTCTCTCTGTTTAATTTCATAGTGTCTTTTCACAGGAATAGAAAAGGAACTAAGGCAACCCCACAGACGCGCACTTACATGAAAACACTTTGATAAGCAAATGATGCGGAAACGTTTTACAGGTGATACCATTCGTAAATGTGGACTGAAAACCATTGGGAAAACCCAAATGAAGAACATGGTTTTAAGTCACTTATCCTACTTTTTTTCTGCAGTACATCTCTGCACAGGTTGAAAACTTGAAAAGTGAAGTTTTTGAGGAACTCCTTAAGCATCTTTGCCACCGTGCAGAGGAATTCCGGGAGATCATAAAAACTGACATACGGAGACATATGTTTGCTGATCTCTTCCTGTGCTGTGACAGTGCTAAGGTAGGTGAGACACTGAGAGCTCGCTTCTCACACTATTCACTGTGAGGGACCAGCTCTGACGTGATGGTTGTTGGTGATGTTTTAATTTCTGATATATCAGGCTTGATAATGGTAGCCCACTGTCCACCATTTGATAATGAAATTGATTACAGAGGGGGGAAAGAAACACAGAGTACAAACACGGAGAGTACAATCTGTTTTTTTTTAAATTATTTGATTAAAACCTGACTTATCAGCTACTTTTTCCAAATTGCTATAAAATTTTCTAGATCTTCTTCTGTGTTTGTACCTTTCTTATTATTGAATGGGTTCACCCTGTCCCACACCTTGAGTGGCATTGACTTTCAACATTTTCAACTTGTTCTAAGTCTATCTCTTGTGTATGTAAGTGCAACAGAGGCCAGAAAAGGTTTAGATCCCTCAGAGCTGGAGTCACAGGCATTTGTGACTCGGGCGCTGGGATTTGAACTCAGTCCTCATAATTGAGCAGTTAATGCATTTAACCACTAAGCAGTCTCTCCATTCCCTTATGCTAGGTCTTAAAATTTTATATTCATAGACTTCTTACAAAGACTGTCATTAGCAGTCAACAGAATGACATCAGACACGGAAGCTAGAAAAATAATAATTGAAATGGCTTTTGAGAATGCTAATGCCCAATGTAAAAGGATAATTATGCCTTTAAAAGCAAAATCAACACCATTAGAGGATTGCATCCATGATACAATTATTATTGAAACATGGGTAGAAGAGGCATTCATTCTCCAGCCACGCTGAGGAGAGGTTACAGTCTGAGGCTTGGTGAGAGCTCATGGAGACAGGACCAGCCTATTCAGTCTGAGGTAGTGGTAAGAAGCTAGTGGTCAGCTGCTCTGCTTTTCTGATATTCAGCTTGAAGTTTGAACCCCAATATCCATCTCTGGGTCTTTTATTTTTCGTGTTACAGTGCCTCTTTGTCAGAACTTGCTAGGTTATTCTGGTGCCATGATTTTTACTTCCTGGTAAAATGCCTAGAAGGCAACCACTGTGTATTGGTCAGTTAATTTAACAGCAACTCCAGTGCCATGGTCAACATGGCGGGATAATATTTGGAGCAATTAGTAGTGGTTTGCTTGTGCTCCTTGGTTTTCCTCCCATCATTAAACAGTCATGTGGAGCTCTTGGAAGGAAGGTAGAATCCAGGATACAAAAGTCAATTAAATTTCTGAATGGTTATTTGTTTTTCAGCAGTGGCTGAAACAAATATTTAGAAAACCTGGATTTTAATATAAAAATACTGGCTTCTCAAGAAAGAGTAGAGAATCCTAGAGCAAGGAAGAATAAATAATAGCATCAAAAAATACTATCAAAGCATTTATATCTTACTAGGAAATTGGGGCCAGCTGGTGGTAGGAGGCTAGAGACTGGAACTAACTTAGAGGTCATCTGGTTCTCTAAGTTAGGTTACTATCTGAGTCTCCATTCCTTGGTCCTAGTCAGAGTTGGAGACTGGAGGTAACAGTGATCACATGTAAGTTTCTGGAAAGACCCAGATTCTCATTTCAGATCACCATTAAAAAAGCTAAATTTGCTGTATTATAAGGTCAGGATATCTGATCTTCAAACTTCCCCAATTACAAAATCCTGCCTGGCATTTCACAGTGCATCCTTCTAGACATCCCAGAAGATTTGTAAGATTCTGTCTGGAAGATCACTGGGAGCACTTGGGAGGAAAGAAGGAAGATACTGGAATAAAAACAAAGTTGAACAGCTCCAGTACTCAGGGTCCTCATACTCCAAGGCAAGCGCCTGTGGATGAACCAGCATAGAATGTCATGCAGAGAACAGGATGAGAGCAGCTGGCTCAGGGAAGAAGTCAGCTGGTCCTTACTGTCTGGCTGAATAATCTAAACCAGTTCTCCTAAGAAGCTGAGCTGAGGAAGAGGCTGCTCTGTGGAGAACCTTCCCTCAGAAACTGTGAGAAGATGAGGAGGAACAGGCAGAAGATCTCTGGGAGCAGAGATGGTAGCAGTACCATCAAAGCACCCCAGCCCTCTCGAAAGAAAAGGGCTTGAGTAAACCACACTGTTGAAAGTAAGTAAACTAAACCAGGCAGTGGTGGCACATGCCTTTAATCCCAGCCCTGGGCATGCAGAGGCTGATAGATCTTTGTGATTTCCAGTCCAGCCTGGTGTATATAGTGAGTTCCAGATCAGCCAGTGCTACAGAGAGATTGTGTCTCAAAACAAACAAACTGAAAATCAGAAAGAAAGAAAGAAAGAAAGAAAGAAAGAAAGAAAGAAAGGTTTGTGTGTGTGTGAGTGTGTGTCTGTATATGTGTCTCTGTATGTGTGTGTGTGTGAGTGTGTGTCTGTATATGTGTCTCTGTATGTGTGTGTGTGTGAGTGTGTGTCTGTATATGTGTCTCTGTGTGTGTGTGTGTCTGTGTATGTATATGTGTGTGTGTGGGTGTGAGCGTCTGTGTGTGTGTGTCTGAGTGTCTGTATGTGTGTCTGTGTGTATGTGTGTGTATGTATATGTGTGTATGTATGTGTGAGCGTCTGTGTGTGTGTGTCTGAGTGTCTGTGTGTGTGTGTGTATGTCTGAGTGTCTCTGTCTGAGTGTGTGTGTGTGGATGTGTATGTGTGTATGCATCTGTGTGTGTATGTCTGTGAGTGTGTGTATGGGGGGGGGTTACAGAATGACTACAGTGGGTTAAAGAAGTAAAGAATCTCAAAGACGCCTGAGAATCCAAAGGTGGCAAACTGATAAAATTCTAGAGGAGTCTGTAGGAATGAGATGAACCAGCTAGAAATTTCTGGAGAAGCTCTGTGGCTGCTGCAATTCAGAACTGAACAGGAAGATGGAAAGATGGCAGTGGGACGACCCTAGGTCATGTGATCTTCAGATACTAAGCCAGGCTGGAAGCCCTAAAGCTTTTTTACCTGTTTCGTCTGGGTGAATCCCCCAGTGGCCAGACAACAGGCTGGGGGAGCTGGAGACATCTCAGTCTCCTTTACTGCTCAGTTGGTATTAGGCCTGTTGTTAGTCCCACAGCTCAGAAGAGAGTGAGGACAGACACATTTACAAGCAACACTGATAGTAATTCCACATATTTACTTTATAAAAATGTATCTAAATGCATGTTAGAAGGTGTATATAAGATTATTCATCACAGTGTATTTTTCTCAAAAAAAGAATGCTAAGAAATTACAATGTTTTCATATTATACTATATAGCAGTTAAATGAATAAAATATCTTTTTTTCTTTAAGATTTATTTCGTTTTTACCTTACATGTATGAATATTTTGTCTGCGTGTATGTAAACACACCACATGCATTCCTGGCGCCTACAGATGAGAAGACCATGGGTCATGTGATCTTCAGAAACTAGGCCAGAAAAGAGAATTGGATCCCTTGGAACTGGAGCTATAGATGGTTATGAACTGCAATGTGGGATCTGAACCTGCAAAAGCAAAAAGTGATCTTAACCTCTCAGCGATGTCTCCAGCCCCTAAAATGAATAAAATATATTTATCTACACAAATTAGATCCCAATGCTGAGGAAACAAAAATCACTTTGAAAGTTAGTCATGGTACCGAACACCTATAATCTCAAGCCTTGAGAAGACAAAGTAGGAGAATATTGAGTTCCAGGCCAGCCTGGGATACTTACCAAATCTCAGGCCATACTGGGCTGGATAGCAAGACCCTGCCTCAATCCCCTTCCAAAACTGCCATTTAAATGGAAATGATCCATGTATTTTATCAGTCTAATACACTTTTGTGCATGCTTTTTTTGTGTGTGTGTGCTTGTTTATCATGTGTAAAAGTCGAAGGAGAACCTTGGGTTTTCTTTTTTGTTGTTTCTTTGGAACAGAGTCTCTCATTGTCTGGAACTTGCCAAGTCAACTAGACTGGCTGACCAGAGAACCCCAGGAGAGCCTCAGTAGCTCTCTGGTGCTGAGATGACAAGGACTCGCCACTACACACAGTTCTTTTATATGGGTCCTGGGGATTGAACTTAGATCCTTGTGCGTGTAAGGCAAGCACCTTACCAACTGAGCCATCTCCCAAATCCTGGAGCTACTTTAAACAGTTGTTAATTCCAGCTACTAAGATCACAGGTGGTGGTGTTAGCCTTACCATTTTTTATGCTTTTCTGTCATGAAAATTTTCTCACAATAAAGTATCAAAGAACAAGTAAAGAGCAGAACTGAGGACCATGCATTGAATTTATCCAGTAAAGCCAGTCACAACAAATAGTTGTTAAATATCCACTAAGCCCAAGGTGTTTTGAGATGTAACAAAATGGGAGAGATGAATATAAGATGCAGTTTATGGATTTTGATGCTGTGGTTTTTATTTTCGTGATAATCGTGGAGTTTGTGGTGATCACAATACTCAGGAAGTCATGGTCTTGCACCATGAAAGCTCCAAATTAAATCTGCTGCAGCTACTAGTTGCAAACTTTCTGTGTAGGTGAAGGTCTTGGATCGGCAGAGGACACTGGCCTTGCTGGAAATATTCTATGATCAAAGTTCACACACCACTAGGAGTTTACTCCGAAACCCAAGACAATGTAAGTGTCACTCAGAGGTAAGGGTATACTGAAGCCGGGTGTCGCAGTACAACGGTAGATAACATGGGATCATTTTGCTCTCAAGGGATCTCCGTGTATCATCTCCCTAAGCCATGGCAGCCATAGCTTATCTACTTGTTCATATTCCCACAGAGTTCACTCTTCTTCACCGCTACATGGATTTTTCACCAAAGTTCAATATTTAAACTTCTGTCACAGAAGAATTCAGCTAGAATGACTTTTAAATGTGTTTCAGTGAAGAAAGGCTCTGGTGATAATTTGAATGCCTTAGAAATTAAGTTAAGAATGGTTATTCCATTTACAATGTCCAGCTTAGAATTCTAAGGTTTCTGTGGGAGATATTTCCTTTACCCAAGCAGATTTACTTACATTGCTTTTGTGGTAAAATATACATGTATACTTAATATGTTAAAGTAGTTTTTTATATGTTTTTCAATGAAACATTTCAGGGTTGTTGTTTTTTCCAGCACTTGCTTACTGTGGGAGGGAAAGTGCCATAGCGTTCCCATGGCAGTCAGAAAGCAGCTATAAGTTCTCTCCTCCCACCATGTGGGGCCAGAGGATCCAATTCAGATCCTTCCTCTGGCTTAGTAGCAAGCTTCTTTACCTCCAGGGCATCCTCCAGCCCTATTTTTATTTTTTAAAGATAATGTCTTTTAATGGCTGAATTTGCTAAATGATGTTAATATCTTGTTTTTGCAGGTAGACTTATTACTTGGATACTTAAGAATCTGTAGGTGGTATACTGAAAGCTGTAGGAGCCACAATGTTATAGCTTAATTATTAAATATTTTGAGAAGAATGGGGACAGACAGGATTTTGTGGAGTTTTATTTTGAGGGAAGAGTGTAAGCAGGCTAAGTCCTGGGGACTCTAAATCTCCCCCTAACCTGGGGTCACAGCCAGCATAGTTGTAGCCAGCAGATTTTGCTGCTAGGATCAATATCAAGATCCTGGTGATAACCATCCGGTCTTTCCCGAAAGTCCTTCCTTCTTTCCTCCATCTTGCTCTTTCTTTCTTCTCTACTAAAAACTGAACTCATATTAAGCATACAATCTACCCCTGAGCTTCACAATAACTCCTTTGTAGAAAATTGTGAACCATGTGTCCACCTAAGTCATAGAAGGAGAGTTGAGAAATAAAGAAAATTTGAAGGAAAACCAAGGGATGGAACCCAGTGACAGGTTGCTAGCTTATGCTTATATAGTGTAGGATTTTTAATTTCTAATTTATTATTATTTGAGTGTGATGTATGTGTTGGGTGGGGTGCATGCATGCCACAGTGCACATGGGGAGGTCAGGGGTCAACTTTGTGGAATCGATTCTCTTCTTCTACTGCTATGTGGGCTCAAGGGATCGAACTCGGGTCATTAGTGTTGTGCAACCAGCACATCTCTCCAGCCTGTATTGTAGACACTTTAAAAGATGTTCGAGATGGAAAGACAGTTTCACTCCCCATCTCTGTGCTGTAGATAATGTGCAGAAAGGGACCACAGAGGTAAGGGACAAATTTCATTTGTTTTAGCAATCTAAGCAATACTCCAAGTAGCAAAAGAAAAGATACGTTCATTTTGTAAACCACACCTTTCAGGAAGCATTGATAATTCATAGTGAGAATTCTTTGTGTTCCTTTGAGTATCTAGTTGCAGCAAAAGGTACCTTTTTTGTTTGTTTGTTTGTTTGGGGCTTGTTGTTGTTGAAGACAGGATATCTTTATGTATGGAACTCACTATGTAGACGAGGCTAGATTCAAACTCATAGAGATCTGCCTGCTTCAGCCTCCCAAGTGCTGGGATTTAAGGCATGTGCTACCATACCCAGTTCTGATATTTATTTTTAAAGTAATAAGCTTATGTTATAGTCACTGCATTCAGTGCTATTTTTTGCATTAATTCAATAATTCTGATTCTATACTATAAGATCAATAATTTAGATAAATCCTTTATTGTCTGCATTAGGGCCACTTATTGAATTTGAGGAGATAGAGTTGTCTGAATTCTGGGGAGATATGGATATTAAGAAGCACATTTATGAAGATTTTGATAAACTGCTTTTAAAGATGAATGTGTTAGTTGCTAGCCAAGTCCAAGAAGATCAAAATCTCTCACAACAGCAGAGAGAGACAAGTGCAGACCAAGAACCATCCCCAGAGTCAGCCACAGAGTCAGGAATACATCTGGCTTCACATAGGCCCCACAAAGGGTCACTTTCAAAACAAGGACAGGGCAAAGGGCGCAAATCATCCTCTTTAGGACAAGGGTCCCGCAGAAGTTCTGTAGCAGAGCCAAGATCACACAGAGGGTCAACTGCAGAGCAAGGGTCCCGCAGAAGTTCTGTAGCAGAGCCAAGATCACACAGAGGGTCAACTGCAGAGCCAGGGTCCCGCAAAAGTTCCGCAGCAGAGCCAAGATCACACAGAGGGTCAGTTGCAGAGCCAGGGACCCGCAAAAGTTCCGCAGCAGAGCCAAGATCACACAGAGGGTCAGTTGCAGAGCCATGGTACCGCAGAAGTTCCATAGTAGAGCCACGATCACAAAGAGGGTCAGTTGCAGAGCAAGGGGCCCGAAGAACTTCAGCAGCAGAACAAAAGCTGCAGACAGGGCAAGACCCAAACATAGAATCTGTGTCAGAGCAAGAAGCACATAGAGAGTCAGTCACAGAGGAACCCGAGCAACGCAGAGCATCAATAGCAGAACAACACGAAAGGTCGACTGCAGATATGCAGTCTCCTAAGAGTTCAGAAGCCAGGTCACGCAGAGGATCAGAGATGGATCAAAAACAGGGCAATGAGTCAGAGGAACACAAAATGTCAGAATATGGACCACAAGGAGAGTCCATTTCGGAAGAGCCACAGCGTGAGTCAGAACAGGAACCACTGATAGACACCATTCCAGAAGAAGAGGAGTCACCCTCAAAATTAGAAGAAAGTAGCACCTTGGAATCTCAAGAAGAAAAGCCTTTGCCAATCATAAGTGAAGAGCAAGCCTCCAGAGATTCCCTACAGCAGGAGGAAGTTCCCACACACAGCAAAAAGGATCATCCATCAAGAAAAGATCACCTTCCAGGTAGCTATTTGGTTCTATAAAATCATCTTTCTGTTTTGTGGAGTGGCTGTTAGGAAGCTTTTTCAGAATGTACTCATTTAAGTTAAGATCTCCGCTGGCATAGGTATCATGTCATGTAAACCACACGTAGATTTGATGCTCAACATTTGAGTCTAGACTTTGAATGCTCAATTAAATGAGAACCAGAATGCTTATTATTAATTTACCTAGTATTTCATTTGTATCAAAAGTCCATTAATATGAAATCTAGCAATATTTTTAGTTGCTTTTTTAAGGCAGAAACATTTTTGATTTAAATGCAAGTCACTTTTAAGTTTCCTTTTATTTCAACAACAAATGGTGGTATATGCCTTTAATCTGTATATTTGGGAAGCAGAGAAAAGTGAATTACTACAAATTGGAGGCCAGCCTGGTTTACGTAGTGAGTTCCAGGCCAGTCAAGGCTACATAGAGAGACCCTGTCTAAGAAAAACAAACATCTTTCATTTTTGCTTTTTTTTCTATAAGAGTTTCCAAAATCTGTATTTCAGACAAAAACAAACAAACAAACAAACAAAAACAACCACTTTGAACTTTAAATATTTTAAAGTTTTTAGCCAGGTAGTGATGGTGCATGCCTTTAATCTCAGCATTTGGGAAGCAGAGGCAGGTGGTTCTCAGTAGTTTGAGGCGTACAGAGTGAGTTCTAGGACAGCCATGACTGTTACACAGAGAAGCTCTGTCTTGATAAACCATTTTTAAAAGTATCTTTAAATTTGTTTTATGTGTATGGTTGTTTTGCTTGTTTACATGTCTGTACTATGTGTGCAGTACCCACAGAGGCCAAAAGAGGGCGTTGAATCCTCTGGAACTGGAGTTACAGTTGGTTAACACCATATGGGAACTGGGAATAGAACCTAGACTCTCTTCAAGCACAAATGCTCTTAAATGGCTAAACCATCTTTCCAGCCCCCTAAATTTCAATATGTATTCATCTCATTGGTTAGAATTTAGACATCTAGTAACATTTTGCTGGGAAAATATAACCTCACCTTGTGTGGCCAAACAAACAGAGCCTCTCTCAACAATTAAAAATCATTAAGTGATTTCATTATGGTTGGTTGTGACACACATACTGGGAAAGTCTTGGGGTTTGGGTTGTTATATATGCAAGGAATTTGTCTCATTAAGCTCACTCAGACTGTCTAATGGACTATATTATTTCAAATCCATAGCGCGCGCGCGCGCGCGCGCGCGCGCGCGCGCGCGCGCGCGCGTGTGTGTGTGTGCGCGCGCGCGCGCGCGCGCGCGCGCGCATGCGCACACATGTCACAGTACATATGTGAAGGTCAGAGGAGGAAGTTCCAGGAGTCAGTTCTTTCCTTCTACCATGTGAATCCTTGGGATTAAACTCAGGTAACTGCATTTGACAGCAGGCACTTTTCCCCACTAAGCCATCACATCAGCCTTGTGTTTTTCCTTTATTCCCATTAGGAGCTTCAAAAAAAGATTCTGAGAGAGACAAAGCCTGTGAACCGAAGCCCCAACATATAGAAGGAAAATCATGGTCAGGTAGCTCCTCACTTAGCTTTTCTTTCCTTTCTACCCTAGAGGAAAAACATGGTTAAACGTGAAATGAAATGGGCTGTGTTGTGGAATGTGTTTTTCACAGGTGAATTTTTGATTGGTGACTGGAAGATGAATTATGTCAAATCTGAGGATGAGGAACAGGCAAAATTAATCTATGGTGACTCCAGATTCACAGGTACATGTTGACAAAGAAACTAGGAAACGCAGACGGTAGTGAAATACATGACCCTAGTTCACCACTATGCCTAGTGATGAAGGCTGAACCCAATGAAAGCACTGACATCCTTACACTGTCTTGTCCCTGGGAATGGACAAACCTAAACAGAAGCAAGGCGGGGTTTTTGGTGGTGATATGCTTTTGGTGATGACATATACTATTGGTGAACTTCTCAGTTGGGCTTTAAAATTTCTGGCATTGGTACTTTGTTTTCAGCTATGGCATCCCCTGCCACTACTCTAAAGTCATGATCCAAGCATACAAAAGGAATCCAATATTAGATATTAGAACTCAATAAAAATAATAAAGGAGTTATTTTCCTAGTAGGTCTACATCCAAACACGACAGACAGGTGAGTCTGTCCTGTTTATGAAGACTTAACAAAGAAAGCAACTATCGAACTAATGGAAGAGTAGGTCTTAGCTCTCAGAGAAGCCACATGTTACAGCCACGATTATTTCAAGTAATGCGCGTAATTTTTTAAAGATTTTAGTTATTTATTATGTATAGAGTCTTCTGCCTGCATGCCAGCAGAGTGCATCAAATTTCATTCAAGGTGGTTGTGAGCCACCATGTGGTTGCTGGGAATTGAACTCAGGACCTCTGGAAGAACAGTCAGAGCTCTTAACCACTGAGCCACCTCTCCAGCTCAATGTGAATAATTTTTAAAATGCTATTTTGATATTTTCTCCATCACTTCAAGTAGTAGAAGTAATTATAATTAGATCAAGATTATTTTCTACATGCAATCTTTTCTCATTTAAGCCTGAATCAAATAGTAAACTTTGTTTTCAACTTAATTAGTTAATTAACTAATCCGTATTTGTGCCTGTGACTTACGCATGTTTGTGTACTTATGTGTGCGTGCATGCATCCATGCATTATGTCTGTTGCTGGCACCTTACTGTTTTGTAGATAAGGTCCTTCATGGAACCTGGAGCTGGCCATTTCAGCTACACTGGCTGTTCAGCGTTTCCTCCGAATCTGCCTGGCAACAACACCCCATAGCACTAGAGTTATAGGCGCATGCTGCTGCACCCAGTTTTTACGAAGATCTAAACCCAGCTTCCTCGTGGTTGTTCAGCAAAGCACAGGGCAAAAATAACACACTGCCTGTCCTCAGAACATTTTAATGAACATGCATAATGTTTGTTAAGTTCCTATGGCTGGCAAGTTCATGTTCTTCATCTATGTCCATTTTTTTTGGCAATGTTTTTAAAATCTCATGAGTACTCATTTCAAAGTTACATCAGATCCCAGAGAGGGCATAAGGCATGAGTGATTGAATCAATGAGTAAATGAAACATGAGTCAGTAGGCTGACATTTTACGAAAAAATACTTCATGTTGTCACATTGCTCTCCAAGACAAATGTATTAGCTGACAGCCTCGGGGAGAGGAGCTGGCGCATAGCATCTACTGATGCATTTATGTGGGAAGTTCAGGAGGTAGCTGGATTTATGTTATGCATAACCAACTCCAACGGAGGACACCGTCTCTCAGCCTCTCAGCCATACTCTCTGTGTCACTTTCAATTTTAGACAGTTTTCTTCACATTGTCTCAAAAATGGCCACTGGAGCATCTATCTGTGTATCATATTCTACTAATTCAGCAATCAGAACACAAAACAAAAATTTCCCTAGTGATTCTCAAAATAGTGCTGAAGCTAATTCTCGTTGGCCTATATAGTAGGTTACACTGTTGTCATATATGAATTGCTGACCAAATCTTATATCATACATCCATGGAACAAGGGTGAGAAGGCTCAGTGTCATATCACTCCTCCTTTAAACTGACAATGGAAGAGAACTGTTCCCAAACAAAACTATGGATGCTGTCATCATAGAGGAAACGCAGATTTCTGAGAGGCAGAACCAGTGGAAGCTGGAGGCAGGTGTTTAGCTTAGTGGTACTGTCCATGCTTAGGATGTGCAAAGCCTTGTATTCAATCCCCTGCTCCAAAACAAGGTGATGGCGGGTTTCTATCATATCAGGAACTTATTTTTCCCCAGAAAATTTGAGAGAAGTGTTTACTGTCTGATATATTTTCCTGCTTCACAGACCTACATGCAATTATTAGGAACATTCAGAGTTACAAGGAACTAAAAGGGAGGAGTGCCTTCAATGGAACTTCCCTCAATTTGCTGCAGTTTGTACAACTCCTAGAGACATTTGTTGGTGAAGATACCCCCTTAAGTGTCAGCCACAGTCTCGCCTCCTTCTTTCAGAAGAAATATTTTGAAACAAAACAAGAGAAAATAAACGCCTTAGAACAGGTGGGTAATATTTATTTACCAAGGCAGCAAGTAAGATCACTATTATCCATAAATCTCCCAGCCTCAGTTGCTCCTAGTGTGGTGTCTCTATAAAAATGTACAGCCCAGTGTACCACTTATTTCAACCACCACACACATTAAATACCCTTTTGATTGTCAAGATCACACTCCAGAGAACTCATTTTCCTAAAAACGACGTGATTGCTTCTGGCAAGAGATGGCTCGGGGTGCAGTTTTGTTTCTGTTCTCTGAAGCCCAAGGTACAGATATACGTAGATGTGAGGATATGTGTATGCACTGCCTGCCATGTGAAGGCATATGCAAATGCACTACCTAGAGCTATGTTTATGCCTTGAAAGCGTGGTTTTACTCATGCCCCCCCCCAGTGGCACACATTTCTTAAGCACTCTCTGCTTTCTCGAGTAATAAGTACATGTACACACATTACCTTATATGAGCAACTTACTCTGTCTCATGGGAAATGTAGGAATTAGTCCCAGAGAGTTTATTCAAGACTTGATTTACCTTTGTCCTCCTGAGTACTGAATCTATAGATATGTGCCATCATGGCTGGCATATTAATCATTTTTAAAAGATTTATTCATTATGTAGACAGTGTTCTGCCTGCATGCGAGAAGAGGGCACCACATCTCATAGTGGATGGTTGTGAGCCACCATGTGGGTGCTGGGAATTGAACTCAGGACCTCTGGAAGAACAGCCAGTGCTCTTAAACTCTGAGCCAGCTCTCCAGCCCACATATTCATCATTTTTAAAATTAAATCTATCTATATAGTAATTCAATAATTATCAATTCTTATCTCATAAAAGTATCTAAAAATGTTAAAAATCAAGCGAGGCGTTGGTGGCGCACTTTAATCCCAGCACTTGGGAGGCAGAGGCAGGCAGATCTCTGTGAGTTCGAGGCCAGCCTGGTCTACAAGAGCGAGGTCCAAGACAGCCTCCAAAGCCACAGGGAAACCCTGTCTCGGAAAAAAAAAAAAAACAAAAAGAAAAAAAAGTTAAAAATTATTGTTAGGTTAAATAAATGTTAAATGTAAACATTTCCCTTTTTCTTTTAGAAAAGATTTTATTTTTAATTATGTACACACGTGTGTCCTTGTGTGCATGAGTCTACATGTCTATGGAACAAGGGGCTGAGGACCTGTCAAAGATAGAGTTATGGGCAGTTGTGAGCTGTCGGATGTGGCTGCTGGGATCTTCCAGAAGAACAGCGTGATGTGCTGGCCACTGCTGAGCCACCTCTCCAGCCCCACCAGGAATTTCTTTTTTTTTTAACAGAGCCATTTGTTGTTGTTGTTGTTGTTATTTGAACACTGTGACTCATTCATTCCTTTCCTTTATCAAGCACATGCCCTTAAAAAACCAGATAGAGCTTCCCATGTGTTTGTCATCATTTTGAATAACCAGGGAGGGAGTGAAAAGAAATAATCAAAAATCTTTACAGAGTATATTACCCTTTCTCATCTAAAGTGTTTCGGTCTCCTACAGCAAATCCCTGGATGTTTTTGGTTGAGAAGTGAAACAAGGAAACGGCAATTAGAGGATTAAAATCAATCTCTGCATTTCCCTCTGATATCCTCGGCCTCAAAGCAAAGCTGAGAGAAAAAGAGAGAGAGAGAGAGAGAGAGAGAGAGAGAGAGAGAGAGAGAGAGAGAGAGAGGAAGAGAGAGAGAGATGCTATACTTCCTTTAAATGCAGGACGCCTGCCACCACACTGAAGACTGTATCTCCTGAGCTTATTTTCCTGTTTGCATCCTAGGCTCGACAAAACGCTTTCCGAGTCCGGCGGGTACTTCTTCTAGAAGCCCTCTTTCAGAAGTGGGACAATGATGGCTCAGGATTTCTCAATCTGGATGATGTTGACAATCTCTTGTATACATATAAGGAGGGAATGGAAAGAGAGTCTATGAAGAAAGGTAAAATATCAGCATGTTCCTTTTTAAGTTGTGGTACTAACCTGGCTCTCAGTTTCTCAGTACCATGCCATACACACAAAGTCAAAAACAAGCATTAGAGACTGGGGAGTGAGTCAGCTGGTAAAGCTCTATATAGGCATAGGCTCTGAATTTGGATCACCAGCACTGCATAAAAGTCAGGAACCACAGCAGAGGTCAGGTACCTCAGCACTGAGGAGGCAGACACACGAGGATCCCTGGAACATAATGCTCAGCCAGTCCAGCTAAATTGGTGAGCTCCAGGTTCAGCAGTGACCATGTCTGAAAATTAAAGTAGGAAGGAACTGAGGAAGCAGCCAGCATCAACCTCTGGCCTGCACATGCACAAGTGCGCACACTCATAAACATGTGTAAACACACACACACAAACACACACACACACACACACACACACACACACACACACAAGCACACGCAAGCACACGCACATGCATGCACGTACACTGGCTGTTTCAAACCTGCTGGTACATTTAATATTTTTCTGTCTTTCAGCCTCATATATGATGGTCAAGCATTCTGAGCTGTATCTTTCTATCCCTTTCTTTACTCTTTAAATTTTACTTATTTTTTTTTATTTATTTTGGTTTTTTGAGGCAGGGTTTCTCTGTGTAGCCCTGGCTGTCCTGGAACTCTTTTTGTAGACCAGGCTGGCCTCAAACTCACAGAGATCTGCCTGCCTCTGCCTCCCAGCCATTTTTTAAAAACAGAGTTTCATTAAGCTTTCCAGGCTGGCTTTAGACTGGCTGTGTAATCTAGGCCAACCTTGAACTTTCAATCCTTCTGCCTCAGCCCACTGAGTAGCTGGAATTATAGGCCTCTACTACCAGACCCAGAAGTTAGAGTTGTGAAATGGAAAAGTGAGTGCCAGGGTGTATGTAGATAGATAGGAACACATGTGTGTTCAAGAGTAGAGTATGTTGCAGAGGGTTTTGAGCCAAGACCTTGAGCCCAGTCAGATTCTGACTGGGAGCTGATTAAGAACTCCACTTTTGAGGTTAAGGTTCTCAAACGGTGCAGCATCACTGCCTAAATTCTTAGTTTCCCTGCTTTTGTGAGTTCTAAGTTATCAAGTCTGGCTGAGTCTAAAGTTCGTCTTCAGTATACTAATTCTTTATTCTCTAAAATAATTTTTTGTTTTTTTGTTTTTTTTTTTTTCAAGACAGAATCTCTCTGTGTAGCCTTGGCAGTCCTGGAACTCTCTCTGTAGACCAGGCTGACCTCAGACTCACAGAGATTCACCTGCCTCTGCCTCCCAAGTACTGGGATTAAAAATGTGAGCCACTCTGCCTGTCCTCTTTATTATTTTCCTCTTCTTTTTTCTTATATTTTTACTTCCTCTAGATGACATAAAACTACTATTCTTTTATTGGAAAACTATGATGTTAGGAACCCCTCAGAAATTCTTCAGTCTTTTCTTGGTTACTATGACCATGATACATTTAAAGATTCTAAGCTACTTGTTGGTGGTGTGTTCTTCACATGGATTGTCTAATGTTTCCTTGTGGCTAAATCCAGGTTATTCATCTTTTAGCAGGATCAGAACACATAATCAATGTTTTACTCTTACTGAATTCTATTAGAAATCCTATGATAATAACATTGATCAGCTGACTAAAATGATATGTGCTGGGTTGGGAATATAGCCGAGTAAGTAGTGTACTTGCCTCACCAGCACAAAACACTGAGTTTGATTCCCAGCACTTGACAAACTAAGTTTTATGGCACACATCTGTAGAGTCAGGTTGGCCTTGGTTACATAGAAAGTTCAAGGGTAATCTGGGATACATGAGACCTCTCAAAAAAAAGGTTTATTCTCTTGAGCCCTTCTACTTAAAGTTACTTTTTTCTGTTTATGAATAGTATTTTGTAGATGTACACTGAAACTTTATAAAAGTTTTTCTCTTTTGTCAAAATTTTTGTCTATAATAGAATATAATAGTTTCTTGTTTTAGTCATTGCATTATAATCCAATATTATCATTGGTTTTTTGTTTTGTTTT